GGAATGGACATATGTCTATTCGAAATTGACATATGTCCATTCCGAACTGACATAAATTCCGATCTGACATACAACAACTGTCAAATCGAATTCCATTCTGATGTGGGTCAAATGTATTATTCGGGTCGTAATTTCACGGATGCGTGACGGTTCGCGCTATTTCCCACAGATCTCAATTATTTGTTTGATCTTCTTTTAGTCCACATAAGCCCCGTGAGTGTTTGTGGTATATGTGAGCGTGAATGGGGATGTTTGATATGTGTGGTGTCGTTTTCATTAAGCCCAAAGCTTAAACACCAACTCTTTATTGTCTTTCTGTTTGTAGAAAAGTTACAATAAGTAAATGGTAAACAGTCATTACGGCAAGATCTAAATATAAAGCCTTAAGTTGAGACGGACAAATTCTAACATCGCTCGTATGGCTGGGCTTTAATTCGACTAATCGTTGTTGCTTCATCTGCGCCGCCCTCCACAATCGCAATCGGTAGGTATATTGGCGGCGGAAAGTTGAAGAGCGTGATGTTTAATTTAATTCGAAGAACTTGGTTATGGAGAAATTGCACGACAGGCAGCGACTTTATATATACACAAAGAATTGTTATCATTACAAGATTATCATTTACAGCACTGTTGTAATAATCATTGTGGCTTAGACCGTTGTACCTCCGGACCGAGACAATTGGGTTCTGGACTGAGTGACTGGGTTCCGAACTGAGACAGGTCCCAAACTCAGACACAACAGACCGAATAGAAATAGAGTTGCGATTGTCTCTAAAAATAGGTTCACATACAATTATCAACTATAACATTGTTATTGAGGCTATAATTAGAGGTTGAATCATTATCGTTGAATTAATATGCAAAGCAACAACCACCACATAACTATTCCTAAAAATAGGTGTACAAAGAAAGATAGTCTCTCTTTTGAGGAGAATGTCGCTTTATCTTAAAACTTTAAAAAACCCCAAGACTTTACTTTGAGTTGAGAGCTTGCGTGAACTTCACTAAACAATGTCCAATAACGTCTGTGTGCGCTTTTTAGTTGCATGTTTGAACTTCTTAAATCTTTATCCATATTAAGCACCAGTTTAACTAGCAGATAAAATAAATTTATTGGCCTGTGAAGTGTGCAACAAATCTTTTGATTCAAGTAAAGAACATATCTGTCCAACGTCCGTTAGTCTTTGACACAACATGATTTATCCCTGCATTAAACATGGCAATCATAACAGCTAGTATGCAAATCTGTTGTTTTCTGTGTTGTACCTCATTGAGGACTTGTCTCAGTTCTGGAGACAACTGAGTTCTGGGCTGAGTGTCTGAGACACAATACCTACATGAAAAATGATTACAACTCTATTCTTAATCTGCGTCTTTAGAGATCTAAGCCTCAATGATTATTACAACAATGCTGCAAATTATACCTGTTTTATACATTTATTTTTAGAAGACATTGTTGCTTTGGACAATAACAACTCTTGTTGTAAATGTAAATTTATTCTTAAGATATGTGTAAATAGGTTTCGAACTTTATTTCAAAGTACTGATTAACATTCGGTTATATATAATAAAGCATATTAGAAGTACCTTGCTATAGTTATAACAATTACCATGTCAGTTCAAGGAGACAACGTTTTGATTGAAAACATTGTTGCAATTAGAACTTTAAATTATTGCTTGTTGCGTAATTTCTATAACAAGTCTTTTGCAGTTTAATATCCACATCCATATCTTATTAACATGCCGGGGGGGGGGGTAATTTCGTTACTCGACCGTACGCATAGACGGTGGGCAATTGTGGAACTGCGTTAGAATACGCCGGAAACGAAATAAAAATTTGTAGCGATAGACCTTGCCTTAATATTAACACTGTTTACGCATTTATTTTGCAAACAGAAAACTAATAAGATAGGTATATCTTTACCCCTGGAATACTTCGCTAACGTAGCCTTGTTCCTTCGTTACCAGTCAGTAGGTTGTTGTACTTTGGTTCTAAAGAAGAGCTCTACATTCAGCTGGATTGAAAGACTTTCTATATACACGTGTATTGATAAAAACGATTTCAACTCTTCATTAACAAAAAAATTTTAACAGACATTGTTATTGTTACCATAAATAAATTGCTTAATCAAGGGGGTCAATACGAATAAATAATGCTTTATCATATTGCACAAATGCACAAACTATTTATCCACTCAAGTTACCGCAATGCGCCTACAATTGGGTGCAATACTAATACGATAAAGAAGCAAAGCTCTTAACTATTTCTCGCTACTTTCCAGATATCTTGTCAGAGTTTTCTGGGTTGATTTTTTTTTCATCTGTTGGGGTTAATGATCAGTAAAGGATCTGCGACAGAATGTGTGACCCCGTGCAACACGGAGTCGAGATTTCCCAAATTGGAGGCAAACAATACAGTTTAAGGGATAAAAACATCTTAAATTTTCCCTGTGGCTTGGCATAGTACAGTAGTATTTAGTTAAACATTTCTATAACGATCTTATCAGCCAATCATTTTGTTATGTATAGTAAAGTTTTATTACCAATCATATATATCAGATATACCTTGTTTAGTAAAAGCTTTATCTGCTAGTCTATCTGCGATATATACACTATACCTTATAGCAAAGTTTTCATCGGTTTCACAATCGTGTAGTCTGCATATTTGATTTATCCCTTACATCAACTCTATTTCTAATCGGTATGGATGCCTCTTTATTACAACAATGTTGTAGTTGATACGTTTGCACATCTATTTTGGGACAATCGTCAGTAATTGTTCCCCTGCATACTTGATTTCTAGTCTGCGTCTTTAGAGATCTAAACCTCAATTATTACTTGCAACAGTGCTGTAATGATACCTGTTTTTGTATCTATTTTAGGGATAATCTTGTAGTGATTGTCATCCTGCATGCTTGATTTATCTCTGCATTAAACAGCGTATTTAGATATGAAGCCTCTATGCTGTAATTGATTCCTATTTTTAGAGACAATCGTGTAGTAATTGTTGCCCTGCATATTTGATTTATCGCCGCATTAAACAATGAAAACTATATTCTAATTGGCGGCGTATTTAGATATAAAAGCCTCAATGATTATTACAACAATGGTGGGTGCAACTATTTTTAGGGATATTCTTGTAGGATTGTTGCCCTGCATACCTGATGACAAACTCTGTTTTAATCAGTGTCTTAGCTCAAAACCTAATGATTATTACGACAATGCCGTAATTGATGCCTTTGTGCATCCTTGGCTTATCGCTACATTACTGCAATAAACAATAGCAACTCTATTTTTGTACATATATTTTTAGAGTCAATCGTGTAGTAATTGTTGCCCTTATACTTAATTCTAAGCTTCAATGATTATTACAACAATGCTGCAAATCTGCCTGTTTTTGTACATCTATTTTTAGGATTAAATCTTGTAGTGATAACAATTTCAATTGGTTTATCTGACTAATGTGTAGAAATGGTTGTTGAGAGGTACCACCCTGCAATTATAGCAAATTGCCATATAATTGTATATAAAGTTCCTGCCTATCGCGCAATTTCTCCATAACCAAGTTCTTCGAATTAAATTAAGCATCATGCTCTTCAACTTCCGCCAACAGTATACCTACACTCGTCGCCAAGTGCACTGGCTGCTGAGGCAAAAAAAACAATTAGTCGACTTACAGCCCAGCAGGATCATCGCCATACGAGCGATGTTAGAATTCGTCCGCCTTGACGATGTAAGGATTTATATTGTAAGATCTTGCCTTAATGACTGTTTACCATTTATTTATTGTAACTTTTTTTACAAACAGAAAGACAATAAAAAGTTGGTGCTTAAGTTTCAAGCACCGCAGGATTCCGGCTTGGTTCGGCTTACCGAAGATGCCAAGCTTGAAAAATGTTTGGATGCGATCTGTAAAAAAGACAAGCAGCCCGTAGAACCCGCAAAACAATGCATCGGTGGTTTATACCACCATGCATCAAAATTCCTTCACGGCCGCCTCAGATCGTCCCCACTCGAGCTTTGTGCTCACGATTGGACGCCTGATGAGTTGAGAGCGTTGAGGGCTATTTGTAATCGTTTTGAAATAGATTATAATTTATTAAACAAGTATGGGACAATAAAGGAAAAAATAATACACAAAGACAATAAATAAAGCAATTTGTCATTAAAAAAAGAAAAAACGTGTATACATCAACAGATTAACTACAATGTTTCGTGTTATTAACGTATTTATTCTCGATACATACGTGAGAATGCCGATTTGAGGTTTACGCATGTCGACACATCATATTATGCCTCCCAGATCTCCAACAGTAGTAGCAATAACTTATGAAATTACTAATCATTTTGTATTGACGCTCTTACGCTGCGCTGCATGCGTGGTAGGATTCGCGATGACCGGTAACAAAGCGCGAAATTGATCTTTTATAGTATATGGGAGATCGCCAAATTTTATGGTTTAACTTCGCAAGGTGTTTTGTAAGAACGATAAGCTAAGATATATTGTTCCTACCAAGCTGTATAGTTAAATGACGTGGCAGTGCAACAAATACAATCAATTAGCTTCAAAATGGTACAAAAACCTTTTGTATTTATACGGTAATACAGACAATAGGGACTTTCTTTTTTACTATATGATCGACAAAGATTTCATTCATCAATGTCCGGTGAGTGTATATGAGTAGCTCATATTCCATCGCCAAATCTTCATGTTGTCATGTTGTGAAAACATCGAAAGTTGAAATTGTTATGAATAAATAAAATATTACTGATCTTAGTAATATTCTCCCGAAATCCTTTATTGTAAATATACATAATTTAATTTTTCTATCGTCAAACCAATTGATTATTAGCCCGGACACTCCAATAAACGGCTCACTTGAATAGTATTGATTTGATCAAGCTAGTAAGCTGTCCGCCGATCAATTACGTGAATAACAGAACGAGAGTTCATAATTAATTATCGAGACGATTATTGTTTAATTAGTTTAGTAAGACAAGTGACGGATACTGACTAGTCGACAAACAAATCGAAGATAGCCCTGTTTAATTTTATTCCCCTTTTGATTTATTATTCTATTAAAGGCGCCCTTATTTGTATTCAAGAGTGTTTGAAACTCGGATAGGAAGTGAGAAGCGTGCTTAATTAAAATAGGCCACTTGAGGCTTAATTCAGTCTTAATTGCACAACTATCGTAGTAAGGGGATAGTACGAGCTAAGCCTGATAACATCACCCGGTACCTACGCGAAAGATAAATCGCTCTCCCACAAACCCCATTTAATTCCCGACCGTAACATTACTGAAAACATAAATGGAGAACTTTACAGGCAAATTCTCAATAAAATTTTACTTGAGAATGCAAAATCTTGGATCTTTCAACAAGATAATGATCCCAAGCATACAACTAAGGCAACAATAGAATTACTCAAGGCTAAATGTCCAAAAGTGCTGGATTGGCCTTCTAATAACCCAGATCTCAATCCAATTGATTCATCAGATCTGCTTGCCGGCCGTAACAGTAAAAATAAAATATCCAATGAGCCTTTGCTGAAAATGCTCCCTAAAATGAACTTGGTAAGAATGCTTGGGCATAGGCTTTTTGTTGTGGTGGTTGATTTTCTTTATAATAAACTTTAATAGTATTTTTATACATCTGGAATGTGGTTTAATCAGAAAATACTACCATTTTCCAATTCAATTTGGCATGGCTTAAAGCCCATTTATTTATGATTATCAGTTAATTTTTTGAATATCAACCTTCCAATGTAGTCAAAAAAGCTCTCTGGATATCGTACTTCGTGAAACATTCAAGCCGGAGTTAGGTTTGTTGAACCTTGTGGCAAGCTCTTTGCTGTTTGTGAAGTATTCGCCTGAATCATGCGACTTAGTTGACATCGCTTTTTGGGACTAAGTACTCTAGATCTCCCTGAACGGGGAAGTGGTTCTAACTCGCCATCTTTTTTTTAATTGGGCGACATATCTGTACAAAATAGTCCACAGGACACCAGTTGTTTCGGAAAAAACTTTT